TGTTCTAATATTTCTGGGTTCGTATTGATACAGCATACATGGTCGCGAAAGGCTTAAATAAAGAAGTTTGACACCATTGTGGATTTTAAACTTATTTGTAAAGTTCAGATTTTTAAGTATTTAAGGTTTTGGTGTTGCTAGGAGATGTGTTTAAACAGTTGTTCACTTATGTTCATATAGTTTCATGCTTATTTTATCTTTGTTGAATATTTTCGCAATGTTTAGTATAACAACACTTTTTCGTCTTACTCATTCACGCGTCTTGGGACTTTCTTAAAGCACTTTATATCATTTGCACTCGTTTAATTAAAGTCGGTGATCGAGTACGTAGCAGCAACGGCAAATTAAAGCTGATCCTGGTCGTGACGTTTAGACTTCAGTTCTAAGCTGACGTAAACGAGATGTGAGTAAAGGTACCCGAATCTATTCCACTGGAAAATCAAGAACGTCTCGTCTGTAATCGATGACGATATACGCCCAACATTTTTCACTAAAATATGTTCTTTCTTGTGCTGTTTTCAACGAGTAGCATTCCTTATTAATATTTATATGGACTAATTACACCCTAATTAGGCTTAATATCAATACCACAATCATTAGCAAATATCTTTCTGCTATTAATGTATATACCGTTACGTTTTCTTAAGCCTTTATACAAAATTAAAACGACTCCATTTAGAGAAAAAAAAATTGCACAGTAGCTGATACTGAAGTTCGATAAACTGCGCGAATCTTTGTAAAATAAATTGATTATAATTTTACTTCTGTTAACTTTAAGATCAAAATGGTAAAAGGCGTACGTTGTAATAAATAGTTCATACTAAGCCTTAAAGGACTGAATGGATATAATTATTAGTTAAATCTGCTTTCATGACATTAGAAGAGCCAATTGTGATATTTGCATTAACCATCCTTGTTTATTGCACATAGTACATCTCGTACTATTTAAATAAACATTTGTGTATTTACATTTCACCTTTGACTCATATGGGTAGAATGTCACAATATGATAAAGATGTGATAAGTTTGGTTCTGTACTTCTAACCATACTTGTACTCCTAAACGACCAAAAAACGCGTTAGTTTTTTACTTAGTTTGTTAATTACGACTAAGGGGTAGTTCTGTATTTGTTATCAGTATAAGCCTAATTGTTTCGTTTGTTTTAGAATTTTCGCTGAAAACTACCGTAACCTTCTAAATATGGGTTAACTGCGATATGTAAAGTTAAAAACGTGTTTTTAAGTGGTAGAGATGTGCTTTGTGCAGTATACAAGGGGGATTAATGCTTAGCTATCCTACTTTTGAACTGATATAGTAGAGAGCCGGTCAATAGCACCCACGGCTAACCTTATTGCCTGACTGAATAGTGGGATTTAAACGCCACTCTTACAGCACATCGAAAGTGCGGAGCGCATTTTTGCAGCAATGGGACGCAACCTACACACAATCGGACTCACAGTTCGCGCACACTAACCCAGATGCCAAGTCGGATTTACAGTTCCTACACATTAATCAATAGGTCAAGTTTGGTCCATATGAAGAAGAGTGTTTGTTTGTTCGTTTTTGAATTTTGCGGAAAGCTACTCAAAGGTTATCTACGCTAGCCGTCCCTAACGTAGCAGTAATAGACTATAGGTAAGGCAGTTTGTCAACACTAACGCTTGGGCTACTCTTTTATGAACGAAAAGTGGGATTGACCGCTACATTGTAATGCTCCCGCGGCTGAAAGGGCGAGCATGTTTGATGACAGGGATTCGAACCCGTGAACCGCAGGTTGTGAGTCGACCACCAACAGGCCATGCCAGGCCACGAAGAAGCTTATAAACAACCTAACCAACAGGCCAGGCCACGAAGAAACTTGTAAACAATCTAACCAACAGGCCATGCCACGAAGAAGCTTATAAATAACCTAGCCAACAGACCAGGCCACGAAGAAGCTTATAAACAATCTAACCAATAAGCCATGCCAAGCCACGAAAAAGCTTATAAACAATCTAATTAACAGACAAGGCAGGCCACGGAGAAGCTTATAAACAGACTATTGAATATCCTACTTATGTCTTTGGCTTACGTTCTGCGTGAAAAAAACTTTCATTCAAATTATCTATGATTTAACCTGGCTGTATAAAGTCTGTATCTAAATGTTACTGTATTCGATATAAGTTTCTTTGTCTGATTGTAGTTAAACACAAAGCTGCACAATCGAAACCGAGATTTTAGCATTATAAGTCATCAGACTTGCCGCTGAGCCATTGCAGGGGCAACGATAAAAGAATACGTAGTTTCTCACCATCAGTATCTGTACTTTGATTAGTGCCTGATAACATAATAATCTTAGTAAAACATATATAATGGGCTACGATTATTCAAATTTAATATTTTATTTACGGAACTCAATAAAATATTCTGCTTATCAAACTAGACTGTACGTGTGGTTGAGCTGAAGAGATGGGATTGTCATGTTGTGTTCGGTTGTTTGAGGCCCGGCGTGGCCAGGTGGTTAGGGCGCTCGATTCGCAATTTGAGGGTCGCGGGTTCGAATCCCCGTCACACTAAACATGCTCGCCCTTTCAGCCGTAGGGGCGTTATAATGTGACGGTCAATTCCACTATTCGTTGGTAAAAGAGTAGCCCAAGAGTTGGCGGTGATGACTAGCTGCCTTCCCTCTAGTCTTACACTGCTAAATTAGGGACGGCTAGCGCAGATAGCCCTCGTGTAGCGCTTTGCGCGAAATTCAAAAACACAAACAAACAAATAAATCGGTTGTTTGTGTAGATGTATTACATTATTCGAGGAATGTATAATCTCAAATTTTTTGAGGATTATTTAGTATTATATATTTTTTATCTTAGTATATTAAGTTTGTGTTAATTTATTCATCAGCTAAGGGGGAGGGGATATTTACAACCTCTGTTCAGACATGGCTTACTATGGTGAAGGATATGACAGTTATTTGTCAGAAGGCACCAGTGAGTCTAGATTACCGGTAATGGGTAAATGATTTGGATCAGCACGGAAATGTTCACCGGAAGTTAAATTTATATATGGCTTTTTCTAAGCCAGAGCGTCTAGGATAATTTTATGGAATAAGTCATCACTCTCAAGACTTTCTCTCTCTAGAGTCTTTGACGCATAAGTAGTTGGAAACTTTAATTGACATTATTTCAGAAAGTTCAGCGCAGTATATGCAAGTAACATTTCATGAAGACTGGAAGTTTGTAACAAATGATTTCGTCTGTTTTTCACTCTTGTAAGTTCAAATATTTTAATTTTTTAGCCATTATTTTAGTTTTTTACTCATTTTCGCAAAATAAGCCATTTTCGAGTAATCGTTCTCCTAGTTGCCAGAAAAGTCTAGGTCTTTGCAAAGGATGTAATCGTAATTTTATTCATAAATGGAATCCCGGACTATTAAGTAAAAACGTTGATTCTAGTACTGTTAGAAATGAGATCTCATTAGAACATCCACTCCATTAACCAGTATCATATAGCATAATCGTTCATGTAAAATAAAACCCAAATACAATTACAGAGGGTTGAATATATTTTATTAAATATATTTTGAATATTAAAATCAGCAAGTTACGTGAAAAGAACACCCGATATCAAGTTGTGGAGCAACGGCTTATATCAGAACCTCCTTTTGATATTGTTTGGCGCTCGTGGGTAATATGATGCCACCGAACACTGATCGCTTTTGGAAATTGCATGTAACAGCTCTCTGCGTGTAAAATATTCATACACTTAAATTATAAAAATGTGTTCAAATCGGATATATGGAAGAATGGTGCGCTTTGGACATAATAGCCTTACAATGGAATCTTTTGCAATGGAAAACTACTCTGAAGAGCTATTGTTAAGATGCACGGTTGTCAGCTAGTGCAAGACCGGACATTGTGACAGGGGCTATAACAACGGGGTGAGGCTTAAAAATAGTTTTACCATGAAGTACTTAACTTCTATTTCTCTGTGTCAGTATCGATTTCAAATTTCTGAATACAAGAAGGCGAAGGGGTGATGAACAGATGGTGTTGGGTGCGAAGGCTTTTTTTTTAAGGATAAGTGGAACGAAACCTATGGAACATAAATTAAGAAACTTTAAGAACTAACAATAGACTGGTGATGTTTTTTGGACGGGCTTTCCTTGTGTAGGGTTGCCAATTAAGTGAAGATATTGTAATATGGGATATGCAATTTTTACCAGACTCTTTTAGTGGAGCCCCCAGCGGTATGTCTGCGGACTTACAACGCTAGAAACCGGGTTTCGATACCCGTGGTGGGCAGAGCACAGATAGCCTATTGTGTAGCTTTATGCTTAACTTCAAACAAACAAACTTTTAGTGGAAATTTTAAGGGAGGCAAACAAATTTCAGGAATGGCGTCATTGGCCTCCATAAAATATTACCACAACAACGATTCAACAGGCGATGAAAAACTAATTAGTAAGTGTGACAATTTAGAATAACGTCTTGAATTTTTATTTAAATGAAAGTTTTAATGAAGCTGTGCAGATTAATGTATTTTTTTTCTTTTCTGTAGCAATTATGAGTTGATATTTATTGTAAAATTAAAGCAGATTTTAATCACCGAACCGTTTAAGATCTTTGCTTTATTGTTTGTTTCAGCACTGTTCTGTGACTTCTCACCATTTTTACTTTTTACTTCATGCTCCAATATTATTATTTTTTCCATTTTTACTTCACGATTTTAAGCATTTCGTTCTGATTTCACCCCCCCCCAAAAAAAACAACAACCAATAACAAAAAACAAACAAACCCAACAAAACAATTTTTCCTAGATCGATTAAAATTCTAGATATTTATTTTTGGCCGATGCTATTATTTTTTCATTGAAGTTTGGGAAGAAATTTTACAAATCTGTATTTAATTAATATTATTATAAATAAATAGGAATACTTTGAATATGCTTACGTCTTAACTTTTTAACGCAGTTGAAGCCTCAAGAAAACTTATATTTCTGTCTGCAAATTTGTTGAATAGACTTAAAGAAGCACTTCATCAATCAACCGCTGAGCACCAGTGTAGAAATAGAAGGCCAGATCTCTCTTCATTGTTTACCACCAGAGGGTGTGCCAACGCCTCAAATTTTCTGGTTGCGAAATGATGAGATCATTGATACAAAAAAAGAAACAAACTTCATAATCTCCAACGAAGGGAACTTATTAATAAGTCAAGTGCGGTTGGCAGATACAGGTAACTACACTTGTGGAGCCCAAAATCTAGCCAATCAGCGCTTCAGTGAGACCGCCACATTAACCGTTTATGGTATGTGATGATTAATCTTTAAAAGTTTTTCTTTTCATTTTCCACTGTTTTGTGATTTATTTATTTCATGTGCAAATTTGTATCCTGAAGATTTTTTACGTTATAAATACAAAAAATAAATTTGTCAATGTGCATCACGTAACATGTAACATTATAATCAAACAATTGGTTGCATCTAAACGTATTAAAGTAATCAATGTATATTTATTTTCAAACATCATTATTGTGGACTTCGCTGAGATAGCATCCAAATTACGTTCAAAGTAATTAAAAGAGTTATATTTGTGTTTGTTTTGTGTATCAAAAACGAATAGAAACGCTGCTAAGAATGATATTAGAATTATTTTTTGATCTGATTAGGGACTCTGATGTAACAAATGTCTAACTTACAGTAGAGCCACCAATGATAGACATGTCTTTGAAAGCCCAAAACCATTTTGAATGTCTTCTAATTTAAATTATAAATATAGAAACATAACCACTTTATCAAAAAAGGTGACATTTGTCATCAGACTGATTTTAAAGCAAAAAAAAAATGTTTATCATCTTATAAAGCGATATATTTCTAAATAATGGTTTCATGTTTCCACCCCCTTTGAAATCAAAATTCTGTCAGGCACCACGATCCCTAAACCCTTCCCTGCATCATAACTGTGAAAGATAAAATTGAATGAGTTGCTATAAAACTTCGAGTTTCGTTGTTATGAGGCCTTTTCGTAGACATGAAAGGCAAAACATTTTTTTTCTCGCAATGTACCCAATATATGCTCGTAGTTTAAAAATTGGCACGTAAAATGTGTATGGTTATCTAAAGTATTGTATCAAGTTTATAGAAGAAAACAGCTATATGAGCAATTTATGAAAAAATTCATTTTAAGAATATACGTGTAATCTCACGAGTATCCAAGATAATGTTTGCACTTGTAAAGTTTATTATTCTTTGTCAACATACATTCATGGGTAAACTCATTTAGAAGAATATAATTTTACTTGAAATTACCAAGTATGCTTGGCATAAAATTCCCAACTTAGGGATACACAGGATATAGATGAATATGGGTAATATTTTTCCGTGAAACTTAACTGTTTTCATTCGATCCCAGAAGTAAGGTGAACATAGTAAATTTAAAGAACAACACCCAAAAATTATGTTTTCTTTGATCTGTTTTGCTCACGAATATTTTATACTCATGACTTTTTTGAGACATTATTCTATAAATGTAAACATAGATCTATCCACTCTTAGGACACTAAATTAACGCGCTTTAAATTATCACAGGCTGACTAGTGAAGAATGTCATAACATAGAAGGCGTGCGAGTAATTTAACTTAGTTTACAAGCTATTACAAAGGTGTATGTTGTTTATTTATGGTTATAATTTAAATTTTATTTATTTAGATTCGTTTTAGGACAGATCATACCAAATATATTTTTATTGTAATCCATGTTAAGTTATGATAAGGTTTCTCTCCGTCACACACGTTTAACTACACTTTAAACCCCTTTTTACTTTGGAACTGAAAAAAAAAAAAAGCTACCTTCCGCGAAAGGCTTTCGATTTTATTTACAGCTTTTACTTGGAATGGACACCCTCGGAGATGTCAAGTATAAACGCCTATTCATCAAGCTAAACAAACTCTGTCAGGTCTTTTAAGTCGAGTTTCTCTTCTGGGCAAGGCTTTCTGCATGTGGTCCTGCTTGCTTGCACGTGGCCTAGAAACTGGTACAGCCACAGTAGCCAGCAGTTGAAAAATGACTACCCATTAAGCAAGAAGCAAAACAAAATAGTCAACAGAACTTCTCTAAGAGATATTTTATGAGTACTTTCAAGTAACAACTTTAAATTTCTAGCTGTATGTTTACATCTCAAATACATTAATAACTATAAAAATCTTTAGTACTACATAATATTGCCTTTATAGGTAATCAAGATGTGGTTTGAAACACTACTTTTCTGGGTGATTTATCTCAAATACTCGCGTTTTTTCTTACCACGAAATTACATTATATTTTTAAGGCACAAAAATTGTTAATTTGCCTTAAATAGAAAACTACTTCTGATGGCGCCAAATAGCAAATTATATTAAAATTTGTCACTTTTACAAAACTATATTAGTTCATAGCATTTGAAAAAAGTAGTAAGCCTAAAGTGTGATTGTTTTTCGTTATCTTTTCTCTTCTTAACTTCGGCAAAGTGTTGGTATTCTGTGTGCTTTATACATCACAGAAAATCTGGTCCCAACTAAAACAACATGTAACTTTGATGTACAAGATAAATTATTGTGCAGTAGCCTGGAGGTATCTGGTAGCCAGTTAGTTTCAGTGATTTAAGTATATCATACAATGTTAACGATTCAACTCTGTAGGTTAGCTGGTAAAAACTTGTTTTTCGTTACATCATTAGATCCGGGATGGTACAGCTGTTGAAATATCACAATTTTATTTTACACAGTATTCTATCCTATATTAATTCACGTTGTGTGTGTGAAATTATTTGTTTATTCGCGAACTATCCTACAGTTTTGAAGCTAGCACAATCAAATTTGGCAGGCATACTCGGAGTGGCCCGGGGAGGGTATGCTTTATCTGTATGACATAGTCCCCCTACCAAAGGGACTAAAAGCACAGTTGTTCAGGGTCGCTTCGAAAAGGATACCAATAGAGGCTAAAGCGCGCTAGAAGGCTATCCAAGTATCATTGGAGTTCAGGAATAACTTTTCATGGTCGATGAACCCAAATATGGTAACGGATTTTGTTTTCTCGCTCCCTGTGATACCAGGGACACTATATTTGAAATTTAGTTAATATACCCCACTCATAAGCTAGCAGGAATAAACGTGTCACACGTGCTCAGGCACTACAGTCATGTATCGTAACAGGGTTTATTTTCTAGTACGGATCCGCTTTGAGGTAGTGACAGAAGTAATTGGGATAATGAAGGAGTTTGATAGGTACATTGAGGCCCCTGTGATTAATGACGGGGCCTTTGAACCCAGCAGTAGACTCGGATATTTAATGCTAGTTCACTTGAAATTTTCGTGTGTAAAACAGTTATGCCGAAATTCTTCTGTCACTCGTTATCGGTGTTACTAAGCTTTTCTTAAGATACAAACTAGACAATACATATTAATAGTTTTTCCCTCAACAACATATACGTCGAGTATTACAGTATGACGTATGAGTTTAAATTCAACAGCTAAAACAATTGTTTTATTTCATAATATTCGCGTAAAGTGACACAAAGGATTATCTGCACATAGCTGTCCCTAACTTTGAACTGACTAGAAGGAAGACAATTAGTCAACAACACCCACCGCCAACTCTTTGTACGCTCAGCTGAGCGAACAGTGGGATTTGATTGTCACTCTTACTGTGTATCCACGGTCCCAAAGTTGAGAATACAATTTTGTGACAACAGGACGCAAACCATGAATCCTCGGATTTACAGCCTGAACATGCTAACCAATAGGCCAAACTCGGCTCATCACAATTTGAAACTGTCTATTTGAGAACGCAAATTTAAGAATATTTTGAAATTTACTAATTTGGAAATAATATTTGAAGTGTAAGTAAAATATAAAGGTTAAAGGATTTCATAACAGTACCGTTTAAAAATTATAAGATGCATTTGAAAATCTACTATAATATGTAAGAATTACATATTTAGCTGTTGTGGCATAAATAAGTTTGCATCATATATTTTGGTAAAACCTTGTATCCGGTTAAAACAAAGCAATAGAAGTAAATAAAATTTAAATAGTGCGTGTGGCTGTGCGTGTTAATGAAAACTTTTAACATCTGACAAAACAAACCAAAACTTTGAAAAATCACTTGTTAATAGGTATGAACAAGAACTGAAAATGAATTGAAAATAATCGGGGTATTTATTACTTCCAACTAAATACATAAACTGCTGTTATTTTAAGTGTAAAAAACCATTGCTATAAAAAAAGCACAACAAATCTTGTATAGAATATAAAATAGAAGCAACAACTGTTTATTTTTTATAACAAATACTGAATTGATATAACTGAAGTGGGCGAAACGGTTACGATGCAATAAGAGGCCAACTCAAATACAGCTGAAGACACAAATTCGTGTATGAAGTTTTTAACTAATGATACACTGAACGATAAAAAAGAGTTTATGCTAAAATCGTACCACTTTTTATTGGCACAATTTTCGGGATTTATTAAAGTGTGGATATACACACTATTCTATTCTTCCCAAGAGGAATGACAACTAACCAATCAGGGTATGTTGTGTCACAATTATGTAAGGTTCTGAAAGTCGCTTCACCCAACAACAAGGGAATATGTGACTATTACAAAACTCTTTGGTAGGAGTAGTAGTAAAACATCAAAATTTGTTATGTATTCCTCCTCCCATACACACACAAAGAAAGAAATAAAACAATGCCTGATTCAACATCAAAATAAGGAACAAACAAGGAATTGTGATACGTTTTTATATATTTATCTAGCATTATGAAGCATAGAATTGGATATTCCTACCAACATGAAATTTCGAGGACGATAAATAGTGATAGACACAGAAAATTACTGTTCGTCGTATTATGAGCAGATTGAATGAGCCCGTTTGACTCGATTCTTATCAATGCTGTTTTAATTAGAATATTGTCGTAATGACAACTAAACGAGATAAATGTAAAGAACAGCAACACCTGTGTTGAAGTGGAGAATACTTCGGTATATATAGATTACTTTTACTCAAGGCAATATGAAAAATGACCTTGCACGTGAAGAGTACCTCCCTAATTACCTTTAAGTTTTGACATATTAGCTAATTTTGCACAGCTGTAATGGTTGTTACTAATGGGTTAACTTATTGTGACACGTTTCTTGGCTGATGTTATTTACAGTGAACGGAGCCTGGTCCACCTGGAGTCCCTGGAGTGAATGCGATAGTCGCTGTGGTCGGGGATCAAAAATCAGAACTCGCATGTGCACTAACCCTACTCCTCTTAACAATGGTCAACAGTGTATAGGAGAAGCCACTCAGAGGTCTGACTGTACAATGCTATGTCCACGTAAGTTTCAATCTTAAACTAAAGATTCCACAAAATTTTATTTGTTAATTTTGTATCAACTTGGTATATATTATAAATGGGATGTAGTTCAGCTTATGTCGTAAGTTCCAAGCTTAAGCTAAAGATTCTTATACAGACTTAACATACCACAAACTTATATTTGTTAATCATGTTTTTTATCATCTTACGCCTTTTAATGAAGATGGGACAT